TTTTTTTTTTTTTTTGAGACGGAGTCTTGCTCTGTCACCCAGGCTGGAGTGCAGTGGCCCATCTTGGCTCACTGCAGTCTCCAACTCCCAGGCTCACTGCAACCTCTGCTTCCCAGGCTCAAATGATTCTCCTGCCTCAGCCTCCGGAGTAGCTGGGACTACAGGAGTGCATCACCACGCCCAGCTAATTTTTGTGTTTTTAGTAGAGATGGGGTTTTACCATGTTGGCCAGGCTGGTTTCAAACTCCTGGTGATCTGCCCACTTCTGCTTCCCAAAGTGCTAGGATTACAGATGTGAGCCATGGCGTCCAGCCTTAATTATCTTAGCTTCAAGTTCACTGATCCTTTATTCTGCCTGCTCCAATCTGCTGCTGAATTCCTCTAATGAAATTTTCATTTCAGTTACTATACTTTTCAGGTTCAGAATTTGTTTGGTCCCTTTACATTTTTTCTCTTTGTTAATATTCTTTATGTTCAGACATAATTTTCCTAATTTCCTTTAGTTCTTGTCCATGGCTTCCCTTAGTTCATTGAACATACTAAGACAGTTGATTTATTGTTTTTGATTAATAATTCCAATGTCTGGGCTTCCTGAGGGATACTTCCTGTCACAATCTCTTTTTCAGCCAGGTGCAGTGGCTCATGCCTATAATCTCAGAACTTTGGGAGGCCAAGGTGGGAGAGTCACTTGAGTCCAGGAGTTTGAGACCAGTATGGGCAACATAGTGAGACCCTATCTCTCTTTTGACTCCAGCCTACTTCCCCTTACTTGGAGGACATCAGAGAGGCTGTGGCATTTTCGGGGTCCAGCCAAGGGGAAGGTGGGTTGAGGATGGTCCCAGGTTGGGTTCTCTAGGAATCCGACTCCAAGAGGAAGATCAGTGTACAAGATATTTATAAGAGTCCCTTGAGATGAGCACCTGAGGGAAGGAGGGAAAGGGTTGGGCAAGGAAGAAGTCTGGCTATAGGGGCTCTGCACAGCCAGAGTGGACCTGTCTGCTGGCTGTCTCCCCAGTGGCTGGCAGCAGCTGGCCTTCATGTGGCACACCTCTGAATCTACCACAGGGAAACACCGGGTGTTATAAGTAAAATGTTTATTCAGAAACAGAATGCTGTTCTTCAGTACTGCAAGGAAAAATTAGCACTGAGACAAAAAGTTTTCTCAGCAGGGCAAATTTACTTTCTGCAGAAAGGGTGCTCCTTTCAGATGAAACAATGGTGAGAGCACACTTGAACAAAGGAGGGAAGCAATTTTTATTCTTTATGCAGCTTGTCCTTGCTACTGTGTCCTGTCTCCATTGGCTGGAGCTGGACTGCACAATCTAAGCTAAACTTGACTGGCTAATAATTTAAAACTTTCTTAAATAGGTAAAGGCAAGGGAGAACAAAGGAAAAGAGGAAGTTGCTTACAAAAAGACTTAGCCGGGCACGGTGGCTCAAGCCTGTAATCCCAGCACTTTGGGAGGCCGAGACGGGCGGATCACGAGATCAGGAGATCGAGACCATCCTGGCTAACACGGTAAAA